GTGGTATTGAAACTTCTCCCAACTCAATCGACTTCACTGGAAAAAGAAAGCTAGCATTTTGCTCACATAAAATAGGAGTAACTCAAGTACAGGCCTCATATTGTGTCCCGGGTGGTGAGCAGCTGACACAATAATTTGGTGTTGGGGCAGTTGGAGAGAAAGAGTTTGTGTCTCTCTATAAAGAAGAAAGGCCACACTTTGGGTCAGAGCCATTCTACCCTGAACAAGCTGGGGAATGTTTCAGATGTGGCAACCAAGACACTGTCTCGTTCACACACTCATTAATAGTATCACCTTTCATTAATTGGGTAACAACAGATAATGAAAATTAATCAAACAAAACCCCTTTTGATATAGTCTTCAATGGTGATGTCATAGACCATTGAATAGAAGATGCTTTTTTCTCGAGAGACGGCTCTCTGACTGTAAGTGCTATACATTCCCAGGATGATTGTGAATCAGGAATTAGGTTGGTTTTGTTGGAAAAGACTAAGAACGCTAAATATCTTCCCGAGTGTCTTTCAGATGACTGAAGTCACTGCTACCTTAGACTCTCTTACCTAAACATTTCTATGTTATCACCTTGTAATCTAGGCTTCCACCAAAGACAAGATTTCAGAGGATAAAGAATGAACAGCTTATCCCTTACTCTGCCCTTTCCCTTCCCTTCCCCCTCTTCCCAGGGGCATCTCTTTCTCACCTGTCATATGTTGCCACCATCCTATTGTGTATGTATGTCATTTATATATCGTTACCACCCACCAGGGCTAAAGAGCATTCTTGCTAACAGCATTGATGTCTCTGGCTCTTTCCTCCTAGTGCATTTGGGTCAAACTGAAGTGTGCCTAACTAAGAATCCCCAGGGGAGACTGCTTTTTCTTTTTTTTTTTAAATCCTCACCCAATGGTATGTTTTTATTGATTTCAGAGAAAGGGGGTGGGGGGAGGGAGAAACATTGATTGGTTGCCTCCAGTACATGCCCCAACCTGGGACCAATCCCGAAACCTAGGCATGTTCCCTGACCAGGAATTGAAACCACAACCTTTTGGTGTACGGGACGATGCTCCAACCAGCTGAGCCACCCAGCCAGGGCAGAGGAGACTGTTTTAAATGCAAATTTCGGGGACTCTGACTTAAGAGGCTTAGAGCGGGTGCCCAGGAATCTGCATTTCAACAACACCACAAGCAATTCCCGGTAGGTGGCCTGCTGACCTCACTTTAAGAAGCAAGGTCTCGCCCTGGCCAGTTTGGCTCAGTGGATAGAGCGTTGGCCTGCAGACTCAAGGGTCCCAGGTTCGATTCCGGTCAAGGGCATGTACCTTTGTTGCAGGCACATCCTCAGTGGGGGGTGTGCAGGAGGCAGCTGATCGATGTTTCTCTCTCATCGATGTTTCTGACTCTCTATCCCTCTCCCTTCCTCTCTGTAAAAAATCAATAAAACATATTTTTAAAAAAAAGAAGAAGCAAGGTCTCGCCCTAACCGGTTTGGCTCAGTGGATAGAGCTTCGGCCTGCAGACTCAAGGGTCCCAGGTTCAATTCCAGTCAAGGGCATGTACCTTGGTTGTGGGCACATCCCCAGTAGGGAGTGTGCGGCAGGCAGCTGAATTGATGTTTCTCTCTCATCAATGTTTCTAACTCTCTATACCTCTCCCTTTCTCTCTGTAAAAAATCAATAAAATATATATATATACATAAAAAAAAAGAAGCAAAGTCTCAAAAAAAAAAAATAAAGCAAGGTCTCAAGGATGACAGCCCAGCATCTCTGTCCCAGCTGGGAGCTTGGTTTGGTCAAGAATGATATGGATGAGTGTGGCAGTTTCCACGTTTTCCCCAAAGCATCTGAGAGCGACCAAATGTTTCCGTAAACACAATTGGCTGGGTTATTTTCTGCGGTTAATCATTATGAGGAACTGCTTCAGATCGTGAGGCCCAGTCACACTTCTGCACGGCTCAGTGTAATTAAGGGCGGAAGTTTCTGTTTTGGGTGTTCCACGCTGCCATGAACCGTGACTGACAGATTGGAAGGTAGAAATTCCAGACCAAGTACCAGCTCCCACAGAGCTTTGCAACCTGGGAAACAGCCAATCCCTTCCCCTTGGCCTCAGTTTTCTCATGGGCAAGGGAACTAGGTCTTGCCTCTCATAGGTGTTAGGAAGATAAATGAAGAAAAAACCACAGTGTCAAATGACGTGTCACTCTTGAAATCCAAAGTGAAGACTTACAGCAAATGTCTCTGTTGCCACTGTGAGAACGGGGTTGTCTTCTTAAAAGCTCACCCACAAAAGCAAGAAAAGCTCCAGTGAGAAGCACATTCTTTAAACCAGGTACTCAACCAGACTCCTCCTCAGCTGGTAGCGCATTTAACCTTCACAACCCTTTGAAATACAGAAGTGGATTATAGACGTTCCCTCAGATGACAGGGAACAGAGATGCCACTTATCCTAGGCGGCGTCCACAGAAGGGGAGGTCTAAAGAAGAACCAGAACTTAGTGATCCCAACCCACACCCTTTCCCTTTTGAAAATCATACACTATAATTGCATAATTAAGTAATATGTGCCTAAATCCGTCTTGTAAAATCATTGCAGATGAAGCTAACTTCCTCTGTGAGCCTCTCCCTCTGCAAATGCCTTATTCTTCCAGGAGGGATTCACTGCTTTTGATTTGGTGAATAGTCTTCCATACCTTGCTCTGTGCAGGCACACTGATATCTGTACCCCTAGAAAACATACAGTGTGACTTTATGAATATACTAGAGGCCTGGTGCACAAAATTCATGCACTTGGAGAGGTCCCTCAGCCTCGCCTGCGCCCTCTCGCAGACTGGAGCCCTTGGGGGATATCCAACTGATGGTTTAGGCCCACTCCCCACGGGGAGTGGGTCTAAGCTGTCAGTTGGACATCCTTAGTGCTGCCATGAGCCCAGCTCAGGGCTTCTGGCTGAGCAGCATTCCCCCTGTGGACGTGCACTGAGCGCACTGACCACCAGGGGGGCAGCTCCTGCATTGAGCGTCTGCCTCCTGGTGGTCAGTGCATGTCATAGCAACTGGTTGTTCCTCTGTTCGGTCAATTTGCATATTAGCCTTTTATTATATAGGATGCTTTGTGTATATGTTTTTAAAGAGAGATGGGATCCCATCATACACAGCACTCTGAAACTTGCCTTTTGCACTGAACAATGCATCTTTGAGGTCTATTATTGCCTATATATATATATATATATATATATATAAATCTAATTTACTGGCTTTAAGTGCTGCTGAGACTTCAGATTGTGTATGTACCCCCGTCTATCAGCCATCCACTTATTGTTGAACTTTTTGATTGTATCCTTTGTTTTGCTAAAACAAAAATGGGTTAGTGCACACCCCATTCGTGCTTTCTGAGCACACAGGTGTTTTCCTAAGGTAGATACTATAAAGTGAAATTGCTGAGATGTGGAGTATGCACATTTTTTATTTTTAATAGACATTACCAAAGTAGATACATTGATTTACACCAGTGGTGTATGAGAGGATATATCCCCTCATCTTTGCCAATGATGTTATATATTTTTTAAATGCTGCCAATCTCCTGGCAGAAAAAGGGCATCTTGTTTCACTTAAATTTATATTTTCCTGATTTCTGGTCCAGTGAAGCATTATTTCATATTTCTTGGCTATTTGTTTCCTCTTTATCTACTCTTCACCCATTTTACATAGTGTTGCCTGATACTTTTTAAAACTAAATTTTGGGAGTTCTTTATACATCCCAAATCCTAATCTTTTGGTATTTATGCTGCAAATATTCCCTCCTGGGTTATTATTCAGCTTTTTAAAATTGTGTAGGATATCCTTGTGTATTTTTTCAGTAAGAAGGTTTACATTTTGAGCTGGACATATTTATTGATTCTTTCTTTTATGAATTTTGCATGTTTATGTCCTGTTTATGAATGCACCCCGCCAAGTTATAAATACATTTTTGTATATTTTCTCCTGTGATGAAGCTTGTGTATTTTTCTGGCTCAGGGCACTCACTGAACCTATGTGCTCTCCGTTAGGCATCAGGAATAGTAGATGAGAAAGGATACTTAGCTCCTGTCTGGGAGGCAACCATTTGCACCTTGACTTTCAATTGGATCCAACTGCAGCGGGGGTGGGGGGGGTGGGGGGGCGATTTAGGAATGTTTCTTAGGCTGCCTGAGGGGAGTAGCTTAGGTCAGAGAGAACAGTATGAACAAGGGGTGGCTGGAGTGTACAGGCTGAGAGTAAAGCTGACGTCAGATCTTGAGGGTGTACAAGCTCTGCTGGGAGGTTGGACTTGATTCAGGTCAAGGGGACGTACTTCAGTTTCAGGCTCGATCCTGTGCTGGAAGCAATCAGTAGATGTTGTTTCTCTCTCCCCCCTCCCTTCCCACTCTCTCTAAAAATAATGGGAAATATCCTCAGATGAGGATTTTTTTTAAAAAAGTCAAAAATATAGCACATACAATGATGTGCAGTACATAATACTTGATAATGATAATAAACAACTGTGTGGCAGGTTTACATATTTACTATACTATGCTTTTAATCATTATTTTGTAGTTTGCTCGTTCTACTTATTTAAAAATGTCCTCTGTAAAACACTATGCTGTGTTACACTTACAGCAGCATCATACATATCGTGTTTACCAAGTCTCTTGATTGTATCATTTCCTCTTGTGCTTGATGTATTCTCATGTTGTTTTATAAATTTAGTGTATACCTGCCAAGAAGGACTCCAGGTGGTTAATTGGGCTTAAATTCATAATCAGAGTCTAGCAGCCTTGGCTGACCAGGGCCTCTGACATATACTTCATTTCAGAGAAAAGCTGCAGACTGACCTGCAAGCCTTCTGCATTGTGTTCATGTCCGGTAAGCCCACCCTTATAAAGGTGTTCCTGGAATCATCTTTCAACCAATGGGTTGAGACCTGCCCTGTCCAATCAGAACTACACAGCTATAGCCTCATTTGCATCTTTACTGACCAATCAGAGCAACTCCACAATGACCAATCAGAACAGGTGTTTATGACCAATCAGGACAGTGCTATTTGGACCAATCAAGCTAAGCACATTTGGATTCCTCGTTTGCATAAAAATGGACCAATCAGGAGCCAGGTCAGGCACTTTCTCTATATAAGCAGGCCTCCCTAGTGGCCTTTGGGAGAGCATTTTCAGTTTCCATCAGAGGATACATTTACCAGTTTTCGAACTGTTCACCTGAATAAAGTTCCTCCTTTTAGGGCACCTCAGACTGGGGACTGCTGTTGGAATTGGCTTGGGGCCAGCCACCTTTTGTCAACAACAATAATGTCCTAGGCCTTCATATTTGCTCACCTTTCACCGACTCACCCAGAGCAACTTAGTCCTGCATGCTCCATTAATGGTAAGTGCCCTATATAAGTGTATCATTTTAAAGGTATCTTTTATGCCTTATTTTTACTGTACCTTTCTATGTTTAGATACACAAATACCACAATTACCTACAGTATTTAGTACAGTAACATGCTGTACAAGTTTGTAGCCTGGGAGCAATAGGCTATACAGCCCAGGTGTGTAGAAAGTCATGCAATCTAGGATGGTGTAAGTGCGCTCTATGATGTTCCTACAACCACGAAATTGCCCAGTGAAGCATTTCTCAGACCATACCCCGTCCTTCCTATGAATTACACTGTCCATTTTGTTCTCCTTAAATATGCGACGACTTAAGGCAGCATTTAGAGTTCTCAGCTGAAAGTCACCCAGTGCGGTTACAGAGTCTCTGCTAGAGGCCCTGACTGCCTTGGTTTCCCTGTCTGCGCAAGGGGCATTCCTCAGATGGCTCTGCCAGGAGGGGCCAGAAGCCGTGTCTGGGAGGGCCGAAAAGTCACCTCAACATTTGTCGGGCGAGCCCTAGACACTAGGAGAGGAGCCGGTTGGCCGTGGGAAGACACAGAGCTGATCCCGCCTAGGCACGGGCTCCAGGCTCTGCAGCGTAGGGGACCCTCTCTCGAGCCCACGCGCAAATGAGCAGCGTGTGTGCAGAGGGGACCAAACCTAACGCGAACAGCACGCCGCAGAGGGGCGGGTCTGGGCGCTGCGCCTCCCGGGATCGCGGCTCTCTGGGCACTGAGGGCGGGAGGGGGAGGAGCCATGTGGGGAGGAGCAAAACCTGGAGGGAGGCCCCAGCAACCCTGGGCAGAGCCAAAGCGGTGGGAGCCCGATCCCGGGCGCACTGCCCTGGGAGCACGCGCCGTCCGGCCGATCCCAGCTGCAGCCTCTCCAGCCCACGCCCGCGCTTGCCCCGGTGCACAGCTGAGAAGGGTCCGTGCTGACGGGGGCGAGGGTCTCGGGCTCCTGTCCTCTCCCAGAGCGGCCGGGCTGCCCGCCACCTGCGTCCAGGTTGTGCCATGGACCCTTCGGAGAAGAAGATATCGGTGTGGATCTGCCAGGAGGAGAAGTTGGTGTCCGGGCTCTCTCGTCGCACCACTTGCTCAGACGTGGTGCGAGTGCTGCTGGAAGACGGCTGGCGGCGGCGACGGAAGCAGCGGCGGGGCCGGCGGCGGGGGGCGGCGGCCAGCGACCCGCCAGGCCCGGGGGAGCTGCCGGAACCCCTGGACGAGGACGACGAAGACGACGAGGAGACGCTGCCGCCGGGCTTGCTCTGCGGGCCGCCGCAGTGCTACTGCATCGTGGAGAAGTGGCGCGGCTTTGAGCGCATCCTGCCCAACAAGACGCGCATCTTGCGCCTCTGGGCCGCCTGGGGCGACGAGCAGGAGAATGTGCGCTTCGTCCTGGTGCGCAGCGAGGCGTCGCTGCCCAACGCGGGTCCGCGCAGCGCCGAGGCGCGCGTGGTGCTCAGCCGCGAGCGCCCCTGCTCGGCCCGGGGCGTCCCTGCGCGGCCCAGCCTGGCCCTGACCCAGGAGAAGCAGCGGCGGGTGGTGCGCAAGGCTTTCCGCAAGCTGGCCAAGCTCAACCGCCGGCGCCAGCAGCAGCCGGCGTCGCCCTGTTCGTCCACTTCGTCGTCCACCGCCTCGTCCTGCTCGTCGTCGCCGCGGGCCGCGGACAGCGTGTCGGTGGAGCGTATGGAGACGCTGGTGCATCTGGTGCTTTCCCAGGACCACACCATCCGCCAGCAGGTGCAGCGGCTCAGGGAGCTGGACCGCGAAATCGATCGCTACGAAGCCAAGGTGCACCTGGACCGCATGCGGCGGCACGGAGTCAACTATGTGCAGGACACTTACTTGCTGGACGCAGGCATCGAGCTCGACGGGCCCAGCCCGGGAGAGGAGCCCGAGCCGGAGGCGGTGGCTATGGCGGCGGCGCCCCTGGACGGCCAGGGGCAGGTAGTGGCGCTGGAGGAGCTGGCCCAGCGCTGCGACGACCTATTGAAGCTGCAGGAGCAGCGGGCCCAGCAGGAGGAGTTGCTGGAGCGCCTCTCGGCCGAGATTCAGGAGGAGCTGAACCAGAGGTGGATGCGCCGGCGCCAGGAGGAGCTCGCGGCGCGGGAGGAGTGCCCGGAGCCCGATGGCAGCCTGGACGGCGAGCTGCTGCTGGAGCAGGAGCGAGTCAGGACGCAGCTCAGCACCAGCCTCTACATCGGGCTCCGGCTCAACACGGACCTGGAGGCCCTCAAGTCGGACTTGGATTACAGCCAGCAGCAGTGGGACAGCAAGGAGCGCGAGCTGCAGGGCCTCCTCCAGACTTTGCACACGTTGGAGTTGACGGTAGCACCTGATGGGACTCCCGGCTCTGGTGGACCCTCGCGGGAATCCCGGCCTCAGCCCGGCGCTGAGGTGTGGGTGGACCAGGCCCGCGGACTGGCCAAAAGCTGTCCTGGCAACGACGAGGACTCGGACACGGGGCTGAGCTCCATGCACAGCCAGGACTCAGACTCGGTGCCCGTGTGCGAGTCCCTTGTATAGGAGGAGCAGGGTCAGGAGGGACACGTACGCTTTCCCCTTTCCTGTAGCAAGACCCGGCCATGCCGCTGGGGACGTGAAACCAGGCTGCGGGTGGGCCCCGGGCTCCTGCGGGGCAGCAGGCCTCCGACTGGGCTGGGAAGGGCTCCGGAGGCCTGGCTGGTAGCGGCTTCCTGTGGCTGGGGGTGAGTGTGGAGGAGGGTGCAGGACCAGTGTCTCCAATCCAAGCTCTTTCAGGGAAAGGGGGGAGGAGGAGGTGAGAACCCCTCACACTGGAAAACAAACACCCCAGGGAAACTGACGTGGTCCGAGCCCATTTGCAAAAACAGAAAAAGGGGTGTTGTGGGCATTTCACCACTCTTCTGTATGGGCAGGACTGATGGCAGCTAGAATTTTAGGTTGTAGCATAAAGTGCTTTTAAAAGAAACACTTGGATGAAAAGGAAATTCCTTGAATGTTAATTGTGACTCTGAACGTGTTAAAACTAGCCAAAGAGGACGCACTGGTGTTGGTCTCAGCTGTTCTTAACATCTTTTATAAAACCCATAGGCACTAAAATCCTGGCTGTTTACATTTCTGCAGATCTGGGAGTTATCCATCTGCTAAGCTGTTTGCCTCTTGTTTTCTTTCAAAGACTAAACTGTACCGAAGTCTAACCCCATGTTTCCTCCTAGTAAATACAGTATTTGTTAGAATGGGATCCCTTTTCCAAAATAACTTTTTATTATTACAAAAACCAAACGTATCTCTGTTGAGATATAGGTTTCTGGCAGACATAATTCTTGGTTAAAATTTAATCTGGGTCTTTGGGGTTTGCTCCTGCAAAGGTTTGTGTGTTTTCCTTTCATTCATATTGCCATTCCATTAACTTAATCACTGTTATTTCAGGGGGAAAAAAAGAAAAGGGAAGTTCCAGAATTCAAGTTAAGTACAACTAAACTTGCTGTTAAATGAGCACTCCCATTGAAACTAAGACTTGAAAGCAAAGATCATTGTCAGTGTTCAGCTTTTGAACTGAGCTCTATGATCAAAACCAACCATGACCTTAACAGATTTCACCCAAACCCAAGTCTAACTTCAGTATTTTTGGTCAGGGAAGAGTTACTTTTCCAAACTGAAATTGAGATAGTGTGAATGCCAGGATTTACTAGATCAGGCCTGAAAAAGATAAAATACAATCAAGCTAATAGTACACCTTGGGTGAACAAATGGATTAACAACAGCAGGTAGCCATAGATAAAAGCATATAAAAGTGAGCTAACGACTTGGATTACTCTTGTCTGGCTCACGCCTTTGCACACGCCAGGAGATGCAAGTGCAACCTCTCTCTCGCTTGCTCGCTCCCTCACTCCATAGCTGGAGACAGAGCCCTGGTGGGGACTCGTGTAATTGTTCCAGTTATTTCAATGAAAACTTATCAGTTGTAGCTAGCTGCTGCCCTGTGGAAGGAGCCTGCTGGCAGTGTTCCCTCTGGAGTGCAGTACTTCTGAGGAATGTGGGATCTAATCTGTCCTGAGGAGGTGTTAACAATGGGGTGTGTGTGGTGCCAGCCTGGTGCAGAAGCCTGGTATCAACCTAACCCATGAGCGGCTGGCTCCAGTTTCAACACTACATGTGAAGATAACTTAAGAGGTCTTGCTTTAGAGAGAAGTTTCCTCCTCGGAGAGATTCTCTGTCTGCTTGTTGCCAGTGGGGGCCTGCTCACCTGACCTGAAGCGATTGGGGTGTCTCTCTTTGAGAGTCAGCATCCCCCTACCTCCCAGTGCTATTACAACATGTGTGGATATTTTCACATTTTTAAGTAAAAGGCCGGTTTCTTAATTGATGTTTTCAAAAGACATTAACTGGCTTAATTATGGTTTTTTAGTTTTGTCTGATGCAGAAAACATCTATGTGTTTGGCTTCCAGCATGATTAAAATGAGGAAGGGACCAAAAAACCCCCACTGTCCCTAGACAATCATTTGGTCCCATAAACACAAAGCCTAATGATAGCTTTTCTTTTGAGGCAAAGGTAAAATCCTCATTAGAGTGTGACAAACGCTACTTGTCTGAATGGTCTATGCTGGCAATGGGCTGACCTAGTGGTTTTAAAATTATTGTGCTTTTTTTCCCCCCCTCGGGGTGGTAGGGAAGTTGGACATTTATTAACTCAAAAGCGAGCACAGAAGTTGGCAGAACAGGACTGCCTGGCAGAAAGGGGCTGTTTTCCTGTTCACTATTATTATTTTAAACTTTGATGGGCTGCTGACGTCAGCAAATATGCCCGAAGCTTGTAAAGCAAATAAAGCCACATCACAGGGAGAAGGCCTGTGGGATTTTCTGATGCCCTCTCTTTCCAGAACCTTCTGTCCTGGCCACCTAAAGATTTTTGCCTCTCCAGTCAACAATTCAGGCACCAAGCAGGCTTTGTTTTATACCAAAATGAGGTTCAGTCTGCCGTTCCCTGCCCCCATCCAAATCAGTTATATCCGCAAAAGGCACTCTGTGTGGGTAGGAGAAAGGACAACAGGTGAGGGGAAAGGAAGGAGACAATAGCTCCTTTTACTAAGAGCTTTTGCAAGCCTGAGAAAGGTGAAATATAGATATAAAAAGCAAATCAGTGCCTCTGCCTAGAAAGTGGCTAATGAATGCTAAACATTTTAAAAACTTCATTCCTTTTTTTTTTTTTTAATAATCATCATGACATTAAGAATGGAAATGAAGGCTTTGAATGCATTGGCACCAGGATTTCAGTGCCCCTGGTAAAAGTAACCCCTCCTGCTCTTCTAACCTTACAAAAGTCCTGGGAGGAGAATAGGGAGCAGGCTCCTCCCAACCAGCCCCATCTTTTTTTGTAATTAATACAATTTATCGTATTTTTTTATCTTTAGTCCATTCTTGGCCATCTGACCAAATCAAAAAGATTCCATCTGTCATTTCTGTTTACTTCCTTATGAAACAAGATAAAGATGAGGAGGAGGATTTGCTAATTAGAAAAGTTACATACTATGGTCCTCATGATGGACCTGAAAGTAACAAGTAAAAAGAAAAGAAAATCACACAGAATCTTGTCACCAAAAGCTTATCACTACTGAAATTTGAGATACTTCCTTCTAGTTCTTTTGAATTGTGAATATTTCATATTTTGCTTATTTTTTTAAACAATATTCAGTGTTAATGAGATTGTTTATATGCTTTTATGCTCAGGTTTTGACAGATTCCTTGTAAGTGGCTCCATCTATCTGTTGGATGTACCATGGTGCATATTATTAGGTCATTCCTGGTATTTTTCATTATTATAAAATGACACTGTGATAAGCTGCTTTGTGCACATATCTGTTTCTCTAATTAGACTCCCTTTCAATGAGATAGCTTCCCAGAAAGAGAATTCCCAAAGAGTACAAATATTTAAAAACTTGACATTTAATTGCTAAATTGGTTTTCAAAAGATTTGTTCTAATTAGAATCCTCTGTGCATGGCAATGCCTATTTCACCACCCCTTAGCTTTCATTAGCTATTATATTTTGGTAAGAAAATATATTGACCAAAATGAATGAATGAATTCTTTGTGGTCCCAGGAAGTCAGGGCTGGCAACCACAGCCTTAAAATACCTTTACAACAGAAAGGGCAGCTCATCCTACCAGAAATGTTAAGAGGACAAGGCACCTTCTCTCCTTCCCATTTCCTTGCTCTCCCTGAGCACTGCTGGGTAATAGCAATCCCGGCTCATATCAGAGCTGGCCCACTCTCTGAGCAGGAGGGGCCAAAATGCCACACCAGCAAGATTAAGGGGGTTAACAAATAAAAGAACCAGACTTATAAAAAGAAAACATTATCTTTTTGCATCTTAAGTCTATCAGAAAAGGTTATGCTTAGAAGGTGATGTCATACAATGTATTTGATTTTGTGCTTCTCCCTTCCCACCCATATCAAAAAAGAAGCCAAAATGAAATCAGTACACACAGTAAATAGCTACGATACTACATCTGAGCTCATCCTTAAATTCTTGAAAAGGGAAAATTTGGTTACGACAATTTGTGAAATTTGTGTTCTGGAAATGTTTGTGAAATGTGTCTTCGTAAACGGAAAGGAAGGAGGATAGGGAGGAACTGTCTTGTTGAGTGCTTTCCAAATGCTAAATCCTGGTGCTTTTTCACGTGCATTGTCTCACATTCATCTCATGAGATAGAACTTTTGACCTCTGATTTTACTGATAAAGAAACCCACATCACCCTGTTGGTAAGTAGCAGATCCAGGATTCTGACCCAAGTCTGACTCCAAAACCTGTGCCCATTTTGCTATATCACACCAAGCGCATTATACCCACGAAGCGTTTGGCACACTCGGAAAAAAGATCTCACAGGCCCCAGAGTGTTGGCATTGGAATGGACTCAGGTCATCAAATCTTGTCCAAGTATTTCCACTCGTGCGGTGGAGTGATTTTCTCTGAATCGTAGAGGTAGTCACTGTCTTCCAGGTGAGGATTAGGGAAAAAAGGAGGAGAAATTCTTACATAAATACCTGGGCATCTGTCTGGGAGATGAAGTCTTTGCCAATGAGAAATATTTCTCACAAAAATTAATATCCTGTGCACCAGCATGAACGTTTCAATTGCAGGCCTCAAGGGCACAGGTACAGTTACAGCTGAAAGGTGGTATCAACAACCACAGCTGTGCTGGAGTTGTCCCCGGTGCTTCTAACCAGGCCTTGTTTCTAGTTGAGCCTCTGGGTACATGAGGATCATGGAAGGGTCAAGAGATGGAGTGCTGAGCCTTGTGTGGGCTCCCATGTCTGTGGAGTTAGGCATGCACACCTGACTGAGGGTGTCTTTGGCCACGCTGACTCCACTGCGCATGTGGAGGTGAAGCCCGGATTACTTTGAAGGACACTGTCCCGCCTCTACCTCTTTCATCCATTCCCATGAAAATTGTCCCTGTTTTCAAACACCTCCAGGATTCCCCACAGCTTTCAGGATAAAATTTACATTTCTTAGCAGGATTTAATAAGTTGCTGATTATCCAGCTCAAGGCCCCTCTCCCAAGTCCACTCTTCTCCCAACCTTAAGACCACCGAAGGAGTGGATTCTGTTTCTTCATTCACATGACACTGCCTTCCTCCATTCATGGGAGGGCTCTTTTCTATCTTATTTTACTTCATGTTACCCTTCCTCTCCCATTCCCGCTCCTAGTTCCCTCCTTACTCCTGCCATAGGCACCTATCCCAATGTGTTTAATTCATGAGATTCCAAGCCATTATATATATTCAGGGCTGCCATGCCGCCCACCTCCAGGGGGCACTATTCGTGTTGTATTCTGGAACTATGCTCCAGAGGAAACTTTGAATGGGAACCCTGGAGTTGAGCAGTGTGCTGGCCTAATCCATTTGCTCAGGTATTACATGCATCCTTGAAAAGTAGAATAAAACTGTCTATGTGCTTATGCTTAATATACATGACATTCACTGGGCTAGAAAGCCCATTGTATTTATTTCTTTTTTTCACATGACAGTATGTTTGTGTGAGCACTCTGCATTGCAATATGTAAATCTAGTTAATTATTTTCTTATCTTATTTACACTTATTTATATATTCCTGGAACACCTATGGTGTTAGCAATTTCTTACTATCTCAAACAATGGATGATGGAGGGAACACCTGGGCTTTGAGCTTCTCAAGGTGGAGAAAGTCCATGATGTGGTTCTGGGAGTGGATGGCTAAAGAGAATGGGGGGAAGATCAAGGTCATCAAAGCTGGAAGGCCAAGGATGTTAGGAGACACATCTACATGGATGTTGAAGCCTCCCATGATGATTTTAGGGATTGGTATGGAGAGAGGAAACGGTCTGGGAGTGAAGGGACAGAGAGAGGTTAATCAATAGAAGCAATATTGTGACAACAGGGGAGGCTTGCATTGGAGCAGTGACTGGGAAGAGAGGTGAATGACCCTGACTCTGATCATGTCCCTCCCAGCTCAGCATACACCAAAAGTTCCCATTTCCCACTGGAGAAAGTCCAAACATCTTAGCACATCCTGCACAATACATCTTAATAGCCTCACCTCCTATCTCCACTCCCTCTAGCATCATTGAACCACTTGAGTTTTCCTGTTCACACCTCTGTCCCTTTGCACATACCGTTCCTTTCATCTTGAAGGATGTCTGTCCCTTCTTTATGGCTTAGTTCAAATGTCATACTTCCATAAACCCTTGCTCAAATGCTCATGCCAGTCATTCAGGGAACTGGTATTTACTGAGCATCTAGCATGTGCCAGCCTCTGAGGCACATATTCATTTGGTCCTTCCTTTGTGCCACCCCACTGAAGCTTTCCAGGTCTGTCAGCAGAGAGGAGACTGGCTCAGCGTCAGAGTTCCCAGACTTGGCTCAATAATCACCAGACCTGAGAACCAGGCTCCATTGGAATTCCATCAACAGGAAGAGCTGGACAGGTTTCTTCTCATTTCCTTGCCTTAATTCCGACTCAGCAGCTTCTACAGCTATAAACAACAAAGGATATTTAATAAGTGAGATGCATTGGTCTGTGAAACAGTGTTCCTGATTCATTAGGAAGTTGTGGTCAGGTTTTATTGCAGTACGTGCTTCATATCTTGATTTCTGGGTACCTGTGTGCACAACTCTGTCTGTATCTGGGCACGAGGGGATTTTCACCGAGATTCATTTACTTTGCCGTAAGCAGAGTGGAAATAACTGAGAGAATCTCTTGGCGGGGGTTGGGGGGGCGGTGGCGGAGGGCATTCCTTTAGTGTAGAGATTACATATTGGGTGGCATAAGCACCCACTTAGAGGCCAACTTTTAGTCAACAAATATTTCTTAAGATGAGCACTGTGTTAGGTTCTGAGCTTGGCACTGCAGAACAAAGATAAGCCTGCTCCCAGCCCTCTGGGAGCATCAGAGCTGCTGCTGCTCTACCTGCAGCTGTGCTCTTTCCTTGCCCTCCTCTTAGCCTGGCCAGTACAACTCATGTCTCAATTGTTAGCATAAGCCTCCCCTTTTCTGGAAAGCCTTCCATGGGCCCTGGTAGAGATGGTGAGTTGTTTATTCAATACCAATTTTTTCTTCATCCTACGAATAAACTCTGGTTATAGTCTGGATAGCATTGTACATAGCTGGTAAACTGCATTTCCCAGTCTCCCTTACATTTAGGAGTGGCTATTAAGATGTAAGAGGAGCCCTAACCGGTTTGGCTCAGTGGATAGAACGTCGGCCTGCGGACTCAAGGGTCCCAGGTTCAATTCCGGTCAAAGGCACGTACCTTGGTTGCAGGCATGTCCCCAGTGGGGGGTGTGCAGGAGGCAGCTGATTGATGTTTCTAACTCTCTATCCCTCTCCCTTCCTCTCTGTAAAAAACCAAACAATAAAATATATTTTTTAAAAAAGATGTAAGAGGAAGAAGTTTTGTGAGAATTCTAGCTGACTTAGTTTTAAAAGGTGCCCCTATTTTCCCTCACTTCCCTTTTTCCTCTTTATTTTTGGATCCCAGATGTGATGGCTGGTGCTCTTGCAGCCATTTTGAACAATCTTGAAAATGTAAGCCATTAAGAATGGCAGAGAAAAAAGAGGGAAGCTGGAAACTACTTCAAAAGCCTTGGACTGCCTACCTCTGGATTTCTTCATTTTAGATAAACAAATGAACCTTACATTAAGCCTGTTTTTACAATTGAAACTAATCCTAACCAATACAACCCCCAGACTGCTTTACCCCCCTTTCCTGATTGACTTTTCTTCATAACACCACTATCGGGCATCTTTATTGGTATGTGTCTCCCATTACAATGTAAGCTCCATGACAATAGTGATTTCTCCTGGTCTAGAACAGTGCCTGGCACATAGTATATCCTCATTATAAAGTTGCATTGTCATTATTGTTATATATGCCCTCTGGCATAATAGTCATCATACCTGCCACCACATACTTAATGTCCATCTTCCCCACCACTCCTTTATAGGGAGTGGAATGACCAGAAAGACCGGTCACTATGATGCGCACTGACCACCAGGGGGAAGACGCTCGACACAGGAGCTGTCTCTTGGTGGTCAGTGTGCTCCCATGGGGAGCGCAGCTTAGCCAGAAGCCAGGCTCATGGCTGGGGAGTGCAGCAGTGGTGGCGGGAGCCTCTCCTGCCTGCAGCACTAAGGAGCAGGAAGCTGAGCAGTAAGGAGCAGCAAGCAGGCGGGCGGTAAGGACCGAGCGGTCCTGGACTGCTAGAGGGTACAGGCCAGTCTGAGGAACCTCCCCCCATACCCAGTGCATGAATTTTGTGCACCGTGCCTCTAGTTGATCAATAAAACTACATCAAGTGGAGCAACTTTTCTTTGCTAGAAACTAGGGCAGGAGAAAGGCGCCTGAGGAAGGCAGGCTGCTTCCACAGGGGTAATCTTAGTGAGGGAAGCAGTCCAAGTAGGGGTGGGAGGTGAGAACTGGACAGTGTCTCTCAGGGAGCTAGAGGAAATGAGAAAGAAGGCCTCTTGGGAGTCTCCTGGATTGGAAATTTACCAAGCTTATGGAGAAAGATGGAGTGAGAAAAATGTCAGATGCTTGATGTACCCAGGTACTCATGAGAAATGAAATTGCTCTAAATGCTTGGAATTCCTAATCTTATTGGATTAGTTATCAAAAATATTGAAGACATACAAGTTATGAAGTCATTGTTGGAACTGAAATAGTGTGTCTGAGCACAGGATAGGGTACCGAAAAAGGCTGAAGTAAGCCATGAGAATAATAGAAATTCTCTGGAAGACTTTTGACAGCCTGAGGCTCCAAAATTAAAGGTTCTGGATGAGTACAATTTCCCATTGTTATGGGGTGAATTATGC